CTGGAAACCTAGCCAGAGCAACTCAGCAAAATAAAGAAAAAAGACATCCAAACGAGGAAGGAAGAAGTAAAATTTTCTTCATTTGCAGATGACATGCTATTATATATAGAAAATCCCAAAGACTACACCAAAAATCTGTTAGAACTAATTAACAAATTCAATAAAGTTGTCTCTATACAAAAATCAGTTATGTTTCTACACTAACAATAAACTATCAGAACGAGAAAGTAAGAAAACAATCTTAGAGGGTTGATGTCAGCATCATGGCAGAGTGAGTTGTTCTCTTAGTTTCTCACCCCTACGTTACAAATAAACAGATGTTCATTAACCAACAGAGAATTCTCTACAATACACAATAGGACATCTGAGAAATCCACACAGCCATACACATGAAGGTGGAGGGACTGGATCCTTGGGAAGCAGTGGAATGAGGTGAGCAGATCCCTCCCCTCCCTGGAAGCAGCAATCTAGGTCACAGGTTCTCACATAGCAACCAGTGCATGAATGTAAGAGGAGGCAAGGTGTGGCCAGGCCCGCAGGTGAACAATTCTGCTTTTGGAGTTGCAGCACAGGTGCAGGAGCGCCCACCCATGGGAATGCTCTCCACTGAGTGGCATGGCTCAATCCATGCAAAAGAGCCCCCACCAAACACAGCAGCTCAGGTGAACTGCCAGTGAGCACAGAGCTGGCCTACATGCATGAAAGAAAGTGCCCCTTCCCTCCCACCTAGCACACCAGCTTGGCTAGTACACTGCCAAGGCAGTGGTCCCACACCATAGTGCCCATACATGCATGTGTGATCTGCCAAGTGGATGTGTCCAGTGGGCAAATGCAGACGAGCCCTACTGGCACAACTTTCAGCTAACATGATGGGTTCAGGAAACACACCACCCCCCAGAGGTGGCAGGTGGAATCTGTGACCTGATACTACTACAAATGCCCCAGCAAAGGATCAGTTCATCAAACACTGTGAAAAACTAAAGTAACATTTCAGAGAAGAAGGAAAATGACAAATTTCCAGAAACCAACCCAGAAGACACAGAAATTTACAACCAAAATGACAGAGAACTCAAAATAGTTGTCATAAAGGAACTCAATGAGTTACAAGAAAACTCAGACAGACAGTTCAATGAGCTCAGGAAGAAAATTAACAAGCAAAAAGAATACTTCACAAAAGAGATTTAAAAAAACAGAAAATCTGGAGATGAAGAACACAATTAATGACATAAAAAATAATCTAGAATCCTTAAATAATAGAGCTAACATTATGGAGGACAGAATTAGTGATTTAGAGAATAGAAATATAAAAATGTTTCAGGTGGAGGAGGAGAGATAAATAAGATTTTTAAAAAAATGAAGAAATTCTTTAAGAAATATCTGACTCAATTAGGAAATACAACATAAGGATTATAGGTATACCAGAGGGAGAAGAGAGAGAGAAAGGAGCAGAGAGCTTGTTCAAAGAAATAATAGCTGAGTATTTTCCAAACCTGGGGAAGGAACTGGACTTATAAGTACATGAGCAAATAGAACTCCTAATTACCTCAATGCAAAAAGACCTTCTCCAAGGTATATAATAGTAAAACTGGCAAAAGCCAATGACAAAGAAAAAATATTAATGGCAGCAAGGCAGAAGAAAATAATCTACAAAGGAACTCCTATCAAGCTTTCAGCAGAAACCTTACAGGCTAGAATACAATGGGATGATATATTCAAAATACTGAAAGACAAAAACTTTCAGCCAAGAATACTCTATCCAGTGAAACTATCCTCCATATATGATGGAGAAATAGAAGCTTTCCTAGATAAACAAAAGCTGAGGGAGTTCATAACCATTTACCTCCCTTACAAGAAATGTGGAAGGAAGCTCTCATACCTGAAAAAAAAAAAAAGGAAATGGTTTACAAAGCTTTGAGCAAGAAGATAGTCAGACAAAATCAGAAAATTGCAGCTCTGTATCAGAACAGGTTAGCAAACACTTAATTACAACGTAGAAGATAAAGGGAAGAAAAGCATCAATATCAACTGTAAACACTTCAATTTAGTTACAAACTCCCAACACAAAACACAATAGTTTGTGACAATAATAACTCAGAAGGGGAAGAGGAAAGCGATGGAACTTGCTTAAGCTAATGGAGATAGGAGGCTATCAGAAAATGGACTATCTCATCTACGAGATTTTTTATACAAATCTCCTGGTGACCACTAAATAAATAATCAGAAAAAGACACAAATGATAAATAAAGAGAAAACTAAGAAAATCATCATAGATAACTACCAAATTCAATTGGTAGTCCAAAACACACAGGATGAGAAACAAGGAAAATGTAGAAGAACAAGAAAATGAGCTATAAAATGGCAGCATTAAACCCTCATATTTCAATAATCACCCTAAATGTAAATGGATTGAATTCTCCAATCACAAGACACAGTGTGGTGGGATGGATTAAAAAACAAGACCCAACAATATGCTGCCTCCAGGACACACCTCTCAGCTCTAAAGATAAACACAAAGTCAGAGTGAAGGGATGGAAGATGATACTCCAAGAAAATGGCAAACAAAAGAAAGCAGGTGTTACCATACTTATATCAGACAAAGTATACTTCAAGATAAAACAGATAATGACTGACAAAGACGGGCAGTATATAATGATAAAAGGGACACTCTACCAAGAAGACATAACACTTATAAATATATATGCACCCAACACAGGAGCACCGAAGTACATAAAGCAACTATTAACAAACTTAAAAAGAGATATTAACAGCAACACAATAATAGTAGGACCTTAACACCCCACTTACATCAATGGATAGATCATCCAGACAGAAAGTCAACAAGGAAATAGTGGACTTAAATGAAAAACTAGACCAGATGGACTTTATATATATATATATATAGAGAGAGAGAGAGAGAGAGAGAACACTTCATCCAAAAACAGAAGAATACACATTCTTCTCAAGTGCACATGGAACATTCTCAAAGATAGACTATATGTTGGGAGACAGGGAAGCCTCTATAAATTTAAGAAGATTGAAATCATATGAAGAACCTTTTCTGAGCATAATGCTATGAAACTAGAAATCAACTACAAGAAAAAAGCTGGGCAAGTGACAAATATGTGGATACTAAACAACATGCTACTGAACAACCAATGGATCATTGAAGAAATTAAAGAGAAATCAAAAAATATCTGGAGACAAAGAGAATGAAAATACACCATACCAACTGACACAGGATGCAGCCAAATGGGTCCTAAGAAGGAAATTCATAGCAATACAGGCCAACCTTAACAAATAAGAAAAATCTCAAATAAGCAATCTTAAAATACGCCTAAAAGAGTTACAAAAAGAAGAACAAACAAAGCCCAAAGTCCACAGAAGGAGGGAAATAATAAAAATTAGAGCAGAAATAAATGAAAATGAACCAAAAAAGAAACAGCACACACACAGTAGAGCACACACACAGTAGAAAGGTCCAATGAAACAAAGAGCTGGTTCTTTGATAATATAAACAAAATTGACAAACCCTTAGCCAGATTCCCTAAGAAAAAAAGAGAGAAGGCTCAAATATATAAAATTAGAAATGAAAATGGTGAAATTACAATGGATACCACAGAAATACAAAGGATTATAAGAGAATACCATGAAAAACTATATGCCAACAAATTGGATAACCTATAAGAAAAGAATAAATTCTTAGATTCATATGACTTCCCAAAACTGAATCAAGAATAGAGAAGCTGAATAGACCAATCACAAGTAAAGAGATTGAAACAGTAATTAAAAACCTCCCAAAAAATAAAATTCTAAGACCAGATGGCTTCTTTGGAGAATTCTACCAAACTTTCAAAGAAGATTTAATACTTATCCTTCTCAAACTATTCCAAAAAATTGAAGAAGACAGAACACTTCCTAACTCATTCAATGAGGCCAACATCACCCTGATATGAAAACCAGACAAGGACAACACAAAGAAGGAAAATTACAAGCCAATATCGCTGATGAACATAGATGCCAAAATCCTCAACAAAATATTGGCAAACAGCAATACATTAAAAGGATCATACACCATGATCAAGTGGGATTTACACCAGGAATACAGGGATGGATCAACACCTTCAAATCAATCAATGTGGTATACTATATTAACAAAATGAGGAATAAAAATCACATGATCATCTCAACAGTTGCAGAGAAGGCATTTGACAAGATCCAACATCCATCATGATGAAAACTCTCAATAAAATGGGTATAGAAAAATGTACCTTAACATAATAAAGGCCATATATGACAAACCCACATCCATACTTAACAGTGAAAAACTAAAAGCCATCCCTCTGAGAACAGGAACAAGACAACAGTGCCCACTCTCACCGCTCTCATTCAACATAGTACTGGAGGTTTGGCCAGAGCAATTAGAAAGAAAAATAAATAAAGTTATCCAACTTGGAAAGGAAAAAGTGAATCTTTGTTTGTGGACGACATGATTTTGTATATAGAAAACCCTAAAGAATCCACCTGAAAACTATTGGAAATAATCAACAACTATAGCAAATTTGCAGGGTACCAAATCCACTTACAAAAATCAGTTGCACTTCTATACACTGATAAGGACCTAGCAAAAAGAGAGGTCAGAATACAGTCTCATTTACAATGGCAATAAAAAGAATAAATATCTAGGAATAAATTTAACCAAGAAGGTGAAAGATCTATGCACTGAAAAGTATAAGACATCATTGAAAGAAATTGAAGATGACATAAAGAAATGGAAATATATTCTATGCTCCTGTATTAGAAGAATAAACATAGTTAAAATGTTCATATTACTGAAAGCAACATACAGATTCAATGCAATCTCAGTCAGAACCCCAATGACGTTCTTCATGGAAATAGAACAAAGAATCCTGGGGCCAGCCTCGTGGCGTAGTGGTTAAAGTTCCATGCACTCCACTTCAGCAGCCTGGATTCATGGGTTTGGATCCTGAGTGGAGACCTACACCACTCATCAAGCCATGCTGTGGTTGTGACCCACATGCAAAGTGGTGGAAGATTGGCACAGATGTTAGCTCAGGGCTAATCTTCCGCAGGAAAACAAAAAAAAGAATCCTAAAATATATACTAAAGGCTCCACACAGCCAGAGAAAAGAAATAAAAAACGAAGCTGGAGGCATCACAATCCCTGGCTTGAAAATATACTACAAAGCTATAGTAATCAAAAGGGCATGGTACTGACACGACAGCAGACACATAGATCAATGGAACAAAATTGAAAGACCAGAAATAAAACCACACATTTACGGAGAGCTAATTTTTGACAAGGGAGCCAAGAAAATACAATGGAGAAAGGAAAGTCTCTTCAATAAGTGGTGTTGGGAAAACTGAACAGCCACATGCAAAAGAATGAATGTAGACCATTACCTTACACCATACACAAGAATTAACTCAAAATGGATTAAAGGCTTGAATGTAAGACCTTAAACCATAAAACTCCTAGAAGAAAACAGGGATAAAATCCTTGACATTGTCTTGGCAATGATTTTTTGGATTTGACACCAAAAGCAAAGGCAACAAAAGCGAAAATGAAAAAATGGGACCACATTAAACTAAAACGCTTCTGCACAGTTAAGGAAATTACTAATTTCTAGGAAGTCACTAATTATCAGGGAAGTGCAAGTCAAAATCACAATGACATATCATCTCACACTTGTTAGAGTGGCTGTCAATAAAAGATAAGCTGCTCCGAGGATGTGGAGGAAAGAGAACCTTTCTGTAATATTGGAGGGAATGTAAATTGGTGCAGTTACTATGGAAAACAGTATGGAGGTTCTTTAAAAAATTAAAAATAGAACTACCATGTGATCTAGCAATTTCACTCCTGGGTATATACTGAAGAAAATGAAGTGACCATCACAAAGATATACATGCTCCCCCATGTTCATTGAAGCATTATTTATAATAGCTAAGACATGGAAACCACCTATGTTTTTTGAAGAATGAATGGATAAAGAAAATGTGGTATATATACATAATGGAATATAATTCATCCGTAAATAGACAAGAAAATTCTTCCATTTACAGCCACATGGTTGGACCCTGAGGGCATTATGTAAAGTGAAATAATTCAGACAGAGAGAGACAAATACTGTATGATCTCATTAGTACGTGGAATCTGAGAAAATGGAACTCATAGAAACAGAGAACAGATTGGTAGTGGCCAAAGGTCCTCACCTTTGGGTGAGGGGCAGGGGTGGGGGAAATTGGTGATCATCAAAATGCACAAACTTCAAATTATAAAGTAAATAAGTTCTGGAGCTGTAATGTACAGCATGGTGACTATATTTAACAACAGTGTGTTGTATATTTGAAAGTTGCTAAGAGAGTAGATCTTAAAAAAATACTCATTAAAAGAAAAAAATTGTAACTGAGGTGATGGATGTTAACTAAAGTGACTGTGGTAATCATTTTATAATATACACATATGTAAAATCATTATGTTGTACACTTTAAACTAATACATTGTTATATGTCAATTATATCTCAACAAAACTGGAAAAAATAAAATAGAATAATGACATTAAGAAACAAAATAAAACCAGAAAAAAGATTATCAGCAGAGATAATAAGGAAAATTTCCCTTTGAATCTGTTATTACTTTTCTTTGTTATTAGATCTATACACATTAAGAATATTTACATGTTCCTAATTAATTATCTGAATGGCTAAAGTGCTGTTTTGCTTTTCAGCCTCTGAGTTACTGATTTGACAGTTGCCTCAAAGGGAAAAGTAGTAACAAATATCTTGTTTACCATTCTAAGCTATGCTCATTTCATTTGAATTCAGACCCACAAATCCTTACTGTCTTGGAATTTCTCTGAGGGCTTTGATCACAAACGTTGTTAAAAAATTGTTCTACATGTCATGCATTTCTTGATAGCATGATTGGTTTGAAACAGCCCAGTCCATTGTTGCTGGCAGTGGCACTCTTGTATAATATTTTTATATGATAATTAAAACTCTATAACCCCACACTCACCAAGTCACCATTCAGTCCATTTTGGAGCAACTTGTACAATGAAGAATTACTTACTTTAGCTCCTAATTTTTCTCAAACCTGTCTACATTTTTGTTATTCATATCTTTGTATCCCAGCAGTTAGCATATTGAGTTCATACAGTAGGTGCTCAATGTATGCTTGTTGAATTAATGAAAGTACAAATAAATGGCCATATTTTGGTCTTAAATATGTCTCTTCGGTTAATCTAGAAAAATATTAACTTTTCTCTGCAACAGTCTTTCTAGTCATTATTTGGAGACAGGTGGTGTTTTCCCTAATTATTTCCCTAATTGATTTCTCTACAGATGAAATGTCCCCGGTGCTTTCCATTGTGTTCCACAAAATAATTCTTGCGCTTTCTTTTTTTGTTTGTTTGTTTGTTTTTTGTGAGGAAGATCAGCCCTGAGCTAACATCCATGCCAATCCTCCTCTTTTCTTTGCTGAGGAAGACTGGCCCTGGGCTAACATCCATGCCCATCTTCCTGCACTTTATATGAGATGCTGCGACAGTGTGGCCTGACAAGCGGTGCCTCAGTGCACGCCTGGGATCCGAACCTGGGCCGCCAGCAGCGGAGCACATACACTTAACTGTTATGCCACAGGGCCGGCCCCAATTCTTGCACTTTCTACTGAATGAGTTCCAATTTTCCTTGTCTTCTTAATACATTTCAACGGCAATTGCCAATGCAAATCTATCATATCCCACTCCCATGTTACAATCTCAAATATTAGATTTTTGAGATTCCCATGTTACATTCAAATATTAATAACTCTCTCAGTGTTATATTTTACTCTTGTTCTGATTATTCAACCATTCATCTCTGGGAAATTTTTATACAGTTAAGTCTTTTCATGTCATTTATGACTAAGACAGGATACCTGGAGAACTGAAGATTTGTCCAAAACTGAGCTGTCTAATACTGTAGCTAGTAGCCACAGGTGATATTGAGCATTTGAAAAGTCTGAATCAATATGTACTGCTAAGTGTAAAATATACACTGAATTTCAAAATATTAGTTAAAAATTATAAACTATCTCATTAATAGTGTTTATATTGATCACATATTAAAATATCTTAGGTATATCGAGTTAAATAAATATATTATTGAAATTAATTTTACCTACTACTACTTACTTTTTACATCTTTTGATTAGAGAATTTAAAATTATGTACGTGGCTTGTGTTTGTGGCTCACATTTTATTTCTGTTTGACGACACTGGCCCAAAGCCACATAGCTGTCCAGTAACAGAGAACTAGAACTCAATTTCTCTGACTATAGATCCATTTTGACTAGATCTGTACATCATGGCTTGAGAAGAAACCAGATTCTAGGTAATCAAGTGATTACAAAGTCTATCTTTACTGCAGAGGTTCTATAGTAGAATCACCATTTTCTGCCTTGAATAATTTCACAAATTGACTTCTTTATGATGAAGGACAGCAGCAGGCAATAATTGGAAATATTCTCTTTAGGATTCTGGAGGTAGGATCTGCACATATGTAGATTACACTGATTTCTATTTAGAACCTGTACTAAGAAATCCCCTTAAGACAGATCGAATGAAAGAATCAAGTCAGTGCACTGCCCGCTCACTTTTAAACCTTAGTACAATGGCATGTGATACATTAAAGTATAATTTGTCACTTCATGGAAAGTCACCCTGCAGCAAGGTTCTGATTATAATAGTCTTTCTTTAGATCATTTCCCAGGCACATTTTGCAACACACAAATGAAATAAAGGTATGATTTGTTCTCTGATTCTGCTGGACTCACTCTTGCAGCTGATAGAAGTTTATTTTTATCTTAACATTGGAGGTTGCCCCTAGGGCTGCTGAATAATTAAGGACCAAGTTACCTGTAGTTTCTCAATAACAAAATACGGAGGTCTTTTTCTACCATTAGTTAATAACAGAAAACAGAGTTAAGGCTGCTGCTTAGAAAAATAGTAACTTTTTATTGAGTGAAATTGACAATTCTATCTGCACCTTTTTTTCCTTAAATTTGCAAATTACTTGATACTCCAGCATCAGTGAACATAGGTGATGTTCTTCTAACAGGTCAAGAGAACCTCTAAGTGAAAATCACACTTAGTTTTATGTCTTCCTGTGGTAAATAATTTGCCAATTTACATGAATCTAAGTATAGACACTTCATGCAGGATGTTAGTTAAAAACTTTATACACTGTACTAAAAGTTTAGGAAAAAACTTTCTTTAGTCTAATTGCTCCTATTGTACCCCACTTTTAATTCTTTGTGGCCCACCTGAACTTTTTAGTCTGTGATGACTCATGATCTGGAGGGTGGTGTGTCAGTCTCTTATCTGGAATCATCCACTTCTCCGGAATCCTCTCAAAGAGTGACAGCTGGAGAAAAGTCCTTGGTGTACATGTAATGCAACTACACAAATCTAGTTATATTAGTGCATCATCTCCAGGTTATCACTAGAGTCAAGACAAAGGACACATGGGTTCAGGGTCATATGGGTTAACTAAATGTTGTCAAAGGGGCATACGTTTTAATATACATCCAATAACATTTCTCTTCTTTACTTCCTTACTATCTAGCTCTCCTTTCTTCATATTTCTCATTTTGTAGTTCACATCAGAAAATATTTTAACTTGCTCCAATGTAGTGCTGATTAAATAATCATGCCTACCTCCAACTAATCCCCTGTTATTCTATTATAGAGTCATATCCATTTTCTTCATAGCAACTATGATTTTTTGAAATCATGAATTTGTTGAGTTACCTAATTTCTATCTCCCATTAGACTCTAAGTTCCAAGAAGTATTTTTTTCTCTGTTTTATCTTCCACATCCAGCACAGGGTCTACAGCATAAAGGGTATACCATAGCTGTCTGATAATATTATTGAATCCAGAAGAGAGACCCTGTTTCATCTAGAAAAATGAGTGATGCCACTGCAGGCTGATCAGTAGGGATCTGCATAAGGTCTAGTTGGGCAATAGAAGGCTGGCAG